CCCCCCCGGGGTATGGCGAACTAGGGAATCAAAAATGGAGAACATGCCAGACTCTGCTACCCACCAGGCCCTGGTACCAAGGCATTTCACCAAGACAGGAGAACAGGGCCAGAAAAGGGAACTGGATTCTCAGCCAAAAAGGGCCCCCTCCCATATGTACAACTGTCCCTAGAGGGACAATTCTCCACAGAGCCCTTGTCTCATTTCTTTAAGCAGAGAGCCAGTGTGAGGGTCTATGGACCACCATGGAGTCTCCTTTCCATAGTCAGGCACTCCTACACACAAACAGTCTGGCTGCCAGCCTCAGAAAGAGGAGGGCCAGGGACTGGGGGCCCACACACAAGAGAGGTGGCATTACAGAAGCAGTGAAGATCCTCTCAAGCCGCTGGTGGGCTTCCTCCGCAGGGCTCAGCTGGACCTCAGGGGCGATTCCTGTCTAAAGGTTAAACCACTATTAGTCCTGGCCCAGGGAACAGTGGGGTCAACACATGCCAAGCTCCCAGCCCAGAAAGCCACTGGGACTCGATGGGAAAGTAGAGTAGGGCCAGGGAGGCAAGCTAGGTGCCAATTTGAGTTTTTAAACTAGCAGATGAGAATAAAAGAACAAGTGCCTGGGAGAGCTGGGGATTTTTTCCTACCATCCTAACCATCACAAGCATCAAATGGCCCTATCATGCCATTTGTCTTTCTGGCCTATGCCCCAGACCAAGGTAACAGGTGTCCACTGTCCTGGTCAGGACATGTCTTAAGCCCCAACTCCACCCTAGCAAGAGGTGAGGGCAGTAGCTCAGGACAGGCACGTGATATTCCTGGCTACTTATAGGTGCTCCCAAAGGGCTGAAGTTGAGCTCCTGCCCTGCCCATTAAGCCAGAATGCTCCTGCCAACCCTCCCTGTATGCCAGGAATCACCATAGAGCAGGCCAGGAGGGTGGGGAGAGCTGTAGCTGGCCTTTTTTCTAAGTACTGCAGTGCCCAGGGAGAATGGAGAGCAAGGCACCTTCCAGAACCCTGGCTCCCAGAAGGAAACAGAGAGCAAGGGCCTCCAGGACCCTCAGGCTCTGTCCCTAGCATCCTCCTGGCCCCTCTCTTTCTAGCTACATAGAGCCTATGAAAGCACAGGAAGTGAAGGAAAAACCTAATGTCTCCCCACTCCTTACATACCCCCAGAAACCTCAGCAGGGTCTAGAAAATGAAGAACCTTAAAAAGAATGGTCCCCAACTCAAGGACCAGCCAAGCAGCTACCACCTTCCTCAAGGAAGGGCTGGAGTGGTCATCCTTAGTTTTCCCCCTGCCTCTCAGTCTCCTATCCAGAGGACACTTGAGCCAGACCCAAAGAGCTCACTCTGCCATTTGCCATCCAGGCACAGGGCTCCTTCAGGGTCCTGATGCCAGTGGGGTTGTGGGGCAAGGTCTGAAGAAGGCAGAGATGACATTAATAATCATTATCATTAGCATCACTGTCTACACTACCATTTATGGATCCTCCATGCTATGGACCTGGCTTGGCAGATTACCTGCATCATTTCTAATCTTCACAGCAGTCCTTCAAAGCATTATCCTTTATTGGTAATTCTCAAATCCACAAAACATAAGATTTTTTCTCAACTATTTTGGTGGCAAAACCTGTTGATCTTCTATTCTCCCTCAGTACAGATATTCATGGATTTGCTCTGGGAACAGCTAAATGTTTGCCTCTTATTGTATGACACTGAAAAATATAAAATTTACTAATAGCCCAAATACTTCTGGCTCCCAGGGCTTTGGAGAAGGGATTGTGGACCTGAATTACCTGAATTACCCCACTTGACAGACAGAAGCTAAGAGATGGTACAATGAGGACAAATGGCTGGGAGTGTAAGCTGATTTGAGAAAATACTGTGTTTTTATGAGGCACTGATCTGCTAAGAATCTGACCCTCAGTTTTGAGATCTGGGGCCTCAAGCTGGCACCATGTAGCTGGAGACCAGGCCCAACTCCCATGGCAAGGCCACAGCATGCATGCTGGTTAGCAGATCCCATTCCAGCCACAGGGACAGATCCCAGACCCAACCCAGGGTTCTGGCATTCAGTTAAGGAAAGCCACAAAGCCATGCAGCCCCTGCCATGGACGCATGACCCTGGGCCAGCATCTGTCATGTGGGACGTCGTGAGGCTTGCGGAAGCTGGCTATGAGGGTAGCTGACCCTCAGGCGAGAGTGGCAAGGGGCATGGGAGGTTAGTGTCACACTCAAGTACCTCCTGCTGCACACCAGAGCCTGGTGACTTGGACTGCTGCTCTCCTGTGAGGTTTGACTTCGGGTCAACAGAGCCTGGGTCCGACACCTCTCTTGGCGGGGCCGGGGAACACTGCTTCTCTGGGGTTTCAGGCTTGGCTGCCTTCTCTGGGGAGTCCATGAGGTATGGGGAGCCTGGTTTCCCCAAGGAGCCTGGCTCCTGGCTGGGAGGCTTCTCCCCCTTCCCGGGAGTCTGCTTGCTACGGGGCTTGTGGTCCTTGCCCCGGCCCCGAGACATCAGGCCCCGCAGGCCTGCTGAGAGCTCATCCTTAGCTGCCTCCTTCTTTGCTTCAGGCTTTGGTGGAGTAGGGGGAGGAGGAGGTGGAGGAGGCGGTGGTGGCTTGGGAGTAGAGGCTGCCTTTTCTCCCTTCTTGCCTCTAGCTGGGTGCTCAGGGGACTTGGTCCCTCGGCCTGGAGGTTCCTTGGAACTCACAGGCTCTTCACCAGGCAGCACCTTGCTCACCACCTTCCTCACTGCATTCGCCACTCGTTTCCGGGACAGGCCCTGAGTCTCCTCGTTAGGGCCCTCTGTTGAGGCAGCCCCCAGACCATTCATGGCGAGTGGGGGTGCAGGGCTCTTGGTTCTGTGGGAAGTCTCTGAAGGTACTGGGCTGGTAGCAGGCTGAGGACTCCTAGGTGGACCACCACTGTCCTTGGAACTGCCCTCTAGCTATAGTCACATAAATATAGGTACACATCAGCATCAACCCTGCACTCCTGCCCACCCCATGAAAAGGAAGGGTGTCATCTCACCCACCAGACAACACAAAGCTCCAAGAGGCTATTTGGGAAGTCCTCTCTGTATCTTCCAGATAGGACAACTGCATCTAAGAGTTTGGCTTCTCTTTCCCACAAAGCTCAAGCAGATATTGTGATCACTTGGTATCTATACCCAGACTGAGCAAGGAACTGGAAGATGCCAGTATAGAGGGCCTAGAGACCCATGAATACCCTAGAGTTACTGGCTTTATGTTAGGATGGCAATCAAGCCCCAAGCTAACTAAATCCTACTCCCTCACAGTTCATGCACAGTAGAGATGGGGTGTGGAGAGGTCAAATAGTCATGTCCAACCACTAATTCTCCATCTAACTCCAGGGCTTCCTACATTATAGTCCCTACTCCTTTTGTCACCCAGTTTTCTAGGCAGTCAAACCCAGAGCCTGCCCATTCTGAAGAAAGCAAGAGACAGGTGTTCTTCCTGGCTCCAAGGCATGCCAAGCCTTCTTCCCCCAGCTCCTCAGGCCTGCAGCCACTGTCTACCCTTCACCTACATTCTCAAGGGCTGCAGAGTTCCAGTGCTGGTCCTGGAAGCTTCTGCTTCATCCTGCTTTCTGCCAGTCTCTTTTCAGTTTCTCTCTTGCACATCTCTCAAGGGTTTGGAAACCTTGTAGTTCCCAGAGAACATGTATGGAATGATGGGAGGAAGAGGTAGCAGCTGAAGCCCACAAACAGTTAAGCACTTAAGTGGTCACAGCTCCACTCTACCCTGGAGTGGGCCCTGGCTCAGCCAGCCTCCCTGCCTCTGGGAACTCAAGAGCTCCAAGTGGGGCACCCACCCTTCCCCCACACTCTTCTGGGAACTGTCTGAAATTACAAGAGACTGCCACTGGGAAAGCCACGCTGGCTAATGGTAGGGCAGGGTTTCCTGCAAAGCCAGACACATTGCCTGGGGGAAGCAAGGTCAACCATGGGTCTCCTCTCTGGTCAGGCAGTGCCTTGCCAGTAACTAAGCTGTGATCAAGTCTGCATTCCCTGCACACCAGGACCAGCACTGGGCTTTATGAAGGTCTAGCTGTCATGCCTGTTTGCATGTAGGAAGATGCTCACAGAATGACAGACCTGGGAGGTGCTGCCTCTGCCTGCCACCTGGAGAGGTTGCCCCAGCTCCTGAGCAGAGCTGAGGCAAGGGACTTAGTCCAGGCCTTAGTTATAGGGAGGCTCTGCTGCAGGACTGGAGGAGTGTTTAAAGGTGGCTCTTCTTCAACCTCTCAGTCCAAGAATGTTCAATGGCATGCCAGGGCACTGCGGAGCTGGCAGTGGCCCTAACTGCTGAGTCCTATTCCCTCTCCCTCCCTCTTCTGGTTTTCCTTCCAAACCCCCTAACCAAAGATGATGACAATAACATGATAGAATTGCTAACACACAGTACTTCTGTATGCCAGGCACTCTTCTAAGCACTTTATATGTAATTTTTGCAAAAAAAAAGAAATCTGAGCTACTATGAACCTCCTCCTTTATGTATCTCAAACACACCCCTTTGAAATCAAAGGCTGGCCTTGCACGACTGTTTACAGATCCGGAGGAAGCCACAATGCCTGGCTAATCAAATCATCCAAGGAAGTAGAGACAGCTGGGACAGCCACCATCTGGGGTAATGAACCATGGATCTGATCTGTGATCTAGCCTGCCCCAGAGCCCTGAACACCTCTGTCCCAACTACCTACAGCTCTCTCCTAACTACACATCCTTGGGCCTGGCCTTTCTCCTTCTAAGAAGAGGACTGCTTTATTTAGGGTCTCTTTCCCAGGGTGGTGGGGGCAGGGGGCAGCTATAACCAGCCTCTAGGTTGCCTGCACCAGGCAGCTGACAGGGTCCTGGAAGGGACAGCAGCAGCTGCAGTGAAATCCCTCTGTGCCCTTGTGTTGTGCTGCCCAGAGCAGGCTGAGGAGTCTGAACAGCTGAGCTTGAACTCAGTGTTCCCCAACCTGAGAGTGTGCCCACCTAAGCCCCTCCATTCCCAAAGGGTTCAGGAAACCAGAACTAATGGCAGTCAACTAAAGAGGTCTGGGGGAAGTTAGAGGATAGCCCCCAAAGTATCTTGGCTTTCCCACCTTTCTCACACACACTGCCTTTTCTTTCTCTTTACCAGTATTCCCTCTAGTCATGCCACATGGAAGAGGACCCTGTGTATCTCCTTACTCCTTGGAAATTGCTTCACAGGCTAATCTAAGACTGATGGGGACAGAGGTAAGGCCAACCCACCTGAACGAAAGCGCACACACACAGACACATACACACACACAGACACATACACACACACAGACACATACACACACACAGACACATACACATGTTTCGGGGACCTCAAAGAAACACTTACAGCCCCTTCCTCCTTGCCAGGAGGGCCAGGTTTGGGCAGAGTTTTGTCCTCCTCTTTAACCTGAGGGATTAGACAAAGAAGTTATTGGCAGGTCAGGACCAAAAGATTCAGTACTAAATGGCCAGGCCTCTCGATTCCTAAGAGGCAAAGCTCCTGAGTTTACAGCAGTACTGGGGCCAGGGACCAGGCAAAAGATTTCCTTTCCTCTAATCAAGATTGCCCAGGGGGCTGGGGTTGTGGCTCAGTGGTAGAGCGCTTGCCTCGCATGTGCGAGACCCTGGGTTCAATCTTCAGCACCACATAAAAATAAATGAATAAAATAAAGTTTTTGTTTTTGTTTTTAATTGCTCAGGGACAACTTCAAGAATGAAGAGTCTTTGTGGAGGCAAAAGTCCAGTATCCTGATGCTTAGTGACTAAGCCACTGTGCCTAAAGGGGCTGTCTAAAGAGGTCCATCTACATGTGACATCATGGCCTTGGCTACACATGGTAGATAGAAAGATCCAGCTAATTCAACTCATGCTAAAGTATAGGTCATTCCCAGTTCAGACAAGAAGTGGTTTGAACAAAAGGCCCCTGATCTAGTGACTAAGGAGGAGGAAATAACCCTAGTGTGGGGTGCCTGTTGGCTCACAGAATTCAGTGTAAGTGAATGGGTGGTCTCCACCAGGGTGGCTCTGGCTTGCTTCTAGATCTTGTGTTATTTTCCCCTTGTTCATAACCTAGTGCCCTCCCAGCCGGACCGCTGAGATCAGACTGTAAGCAGGCTTTCATTTTTGTGTGTGGTGCTGGGGAATCAAACACAGGGCCTTGAGCATACAAGGCAAGCACTCTACCAACTGAGCTATATCCCCAGCCCCCGAGAACATAACAGGAAGTAGGGCAGATATTTTTCAGAAGGACAGATATTTTCCAACCTCACGGTCACAAAACTGCCAGCCACGCAACTAAGGGAAGGAACCCCAAGGTTAGGGGCAGGGTATAGAGGAAGGAAGATGCCTGAGCTCTGGACTCTCTGGCCATCGATCTGTGCTAGAGCCAGAGAGCTGGCTGGCTCCAGTCAGATGGGAGACATAGCGTCAGGGGCAACAGCAGACACCATAACTCTGGGAAAAAGGGACAGGCAATGTGGAAGCTCTGAAAATTCTTTCAATTCACTGACTCAAAATGGACTCCAAGGGGAAAGACCCTAAGTTTGGGAGCGCCTTCTCCTCTCCTACCTCACAACATCTCTCCCTCCCTTCTCAGGTCACCTAGACCTGTGACCAGCCCCACCTCACCCTCAGCATGCCTTTCTTGGGGGTAGGAGCCTGGGAAGATGTCCTTGATTCCTAATGGAAAAGATACTTAGAAACATCCAGAATCAATTATCTACTTGGGGGGGGGATTCTGTTTTTAACTAGGGTCCATGGTAAATTTTGAGCTCCAATTAGCAGTGCCTGGGGCACTAGCAAGCCTGATGGCTGCTTCAGCTTCAAAGCTGCATCTTGTCCACAGAGCTATGTTCAATGGGCTCAAGCTTCAAAGTTAGTTCACATTACCATGGACAGAGGGAAAAGGCAAATATTCATCAGAGAGACCACATTGCTTTAGAAACTGGGGTTGATGCAGTTAAAGGGAAGGAAGGGTGGAGAGGGAATAAAGAAGAGTAGCTAGGTCTGCACCTCCTGCTCCGCACCAAGGGCCATTGCCCCCCACCCCATCCAAACCCAGGGATCACACCGTGCATTAACCCCCCCCAAACACACACACACACATACACACACAGACAACCAGGTTAGAGTACAGCAAGTGTTCTCAAAACACAGACACACTCGTTACTGCACACAGTGCTGTTAGCTCAGGCTCAGGCATGGCCCAGATTCCAAGTTCACTCCACGTCCTTCACCAGCTCCAAATATGTCCTCCCTCTTGCGGGTTGAGTTTAGGACCCCAAACATCCTGCCCAAGGTGAGGCACTGGAGAGAACACTGGTTGCCCCCCAAAGTGTCTGGGACACTGGGCCCAGATCTGAGCTCAGTTCTGTATTTAGCCTCTGGCTGACTCACTGCCCCCTCCCCCTCCCAAAAGGCTCTGGCTGCTACTGTAGGTCATTGCCCAGCTGGGGACTGTGCACACACACAAAGGCACGCCCAGTCTGCAGCAGCGGCAGCCTGAATCACTCTCTGGACCAGGCGCCAACGAGCCTGCCTCCCTCTCAGCCCCTTTCTTCTCCTACCCACCTCAGCCCCAGACTCAGAGAGACCCAGTTCCAGAGGCCTTGGTGCCAAACCTTTCCACAGCAGCTTAAGGCGTGGGGGCGATGAGAGCAGCAAGCTGGTGGAGGGACATGGAAGGGTTAATTTGGAGGGGTACCAGTGGGACAAAAGGCAGCTCAGCTTACCCAGGGGAGGAGCATGACTCAAGACAGGAGAAAGTTCACCAGCCCCCAGCCCCAGCCTTACTCCCCACACCCCCAAATGCACAATCCATCCCTAGCTTCCAAAGCTCCCTCTCCCATAAGCCAGTCTCCTGCCTGCAGACACACCATGCTGAACACATGGGCGCAAACAAAGATTTTGAAACCAGACTTTCCTTTTGCTCCCAGAAGGCGAACCTTGATGAAAAGGCCATGGTCAGAGAAGAAATGGGGGCAAGGTCTCTCAGGGACTTGGAGTCTTCCTAAAGGCCAGGACCTGCTGGGACAAGCACTGTGGGCAACAAGAGGTAAGGAAGGATAGAGTGGAGGAGGAATTACAAAATTCAAAAGATCATAGAAGGAGTAAGGAATAAACTGTTAGAGGAAAGTGAGGGCAAGGTGGGTTCAGAACAAAGAACCTCCCACTGTTGGAAGCTGTGTGCCCTCGAAAGCCACTTCACTTCTCTGGGCCTCTCTGGAGAATTAGGGGCTGGACTAGTCTAAATAATGGCTAAAGTCTTTTCCAGGTCTGGCACCCTAGCAGTATGGATGCAGAGAGTCACTCAAGCCCTTATACTTGTGTGTGTGTTGTGGGGAGGGGAGTAAAGAAGCTGTCCAAAACCCCAGCAACTCTGCCTTCCACCTACACCCCACAATTGCCTGCCAAGGCCAAGAGGCCTGGGGAACCGTAAACCTGACTCATCTAAGGCTTAAGAACCACATCTAGCCCTTAGAAAATCAGCAGTCAGAGGCTGAATCGGTTCATTTCAATGGAGTTTAACTCATTTCATCTTTACAACTATTTATAATGAACAAGTCGTTAAAAATTGGAGAATTTTTTTTCATGCTGGAATTGAACCCAGGACCTCACACATGCTAGGCAAGTGCTCTAGCAGTGAGCTATACCCCCAACCCTGAATTATTTTGAATTGGCTTCACCGACTACTATTTTACTATTCAGTTAATATGCTAGAGACTTTAAGCTAATTTAATTGGCTCATTTGTTCCTTGATCTCTTGTTCAAGTCTTCCTATTTGTCCAGAAGGTCCCATCCAGCTCAGAAAGACACAGACCATTGACATCTGGTCTGTTCCTCTATCTACATCAGCTGTTCCTCATAAGCATCACTCTGAATCCAAGTGTGGGGATCTCCCCAAAGGAAATTCTCTCCGGCTCTTGTGCAGAACTGTCTGGACATTTTCCCTCTCTTCCTTATCACTGGCTTTTAACTAAGCCTTGCTTAGTATCTCTTCATACACTAAGGAACAGGTAAAGAACTCAGGCCCCAAAGGTGGTGGCAATGTCTCTGTTATAGTGGCCCCCAGAGCTGGGAACTAATGGCTCCTTGGAGCATGTGTGCCCACAGCCAAAGTCTCCCTTCCCTGACCTGTTCCCTCTCTAGAGATTTCAGCCACTTCCTACAACAACATTATTTTCTGAACATGGAATACCTACAATGATGTGGGCCCTGCAAAAGATAGTTAACATAGATTTTCTAGTAAGAATCTTACAACAATCTCATGACATGGGAATTATTATTATTCCCATTTTACTGATGACGAAAAGGATTCCAGAAGAGAATCTGTGGCAAAACAAGTGGTAGAACTTGGATTTGAACCCAAATTGGCCTGATTCCAAGAACCTGTGCTGCTTCCTTGGTGGCCCACTTTTTCTGGTATATTAGGCAGGCACCAGAGGGACTCAATCACTGTTAGTAGCCAAATCTGGTGGATAGACTCCATCAGTGCTGAGGTCCTGGAGATCCAGGTCAAACCAAAGCATAGGTCGATAGAGCAATGCTCACTGATGCTCAACTTTTTCAAATATTGTTTCTGGATTTGCAAAGAGAAATCCCATCCTGACCCATGACCCTGTCACTGTAAGAGGCTCTGGCCAACTCCTCCCTCTGTGGCAATTCTCGTCTCTTCCGTTGAGACAAGGGAAGAGAAACCAACATTCTCTGAATACTTATTATGAGCCAGGCACAGGGGTAGGCACTTTATACTTTCCTCTCATTAAATCCTCACAACCACCTACTTTTTAGATAAGGAAACAGGGTAAGTTGCCAAGAGCCCCACAACTAATAAGTATCAATTCACAACACAGATGGGTCTTGATGAGCTGTTTGGGTGACTTGTCATTCCTGAACTGATTTCCTCATAGATAGGACTCTGCAAGCGCTTGTCAAATGTTTGCAGCACGTTAGTGCTAGAACCGGCACTCTGCCCAAACTTCTTATTCCCACCTAGTCTCTTCCCTCAGAGAATATTTCAGTGATGTGGTATAAACAAGGGAGTTGTAATCTCTAAATTTAGCAACAACAAATAGATAGTAAACTCAATGCCATGGGATTAGGGGGAGGTGACAGCTCTTTGTGAAACAACAATAGCAACAAAATTTGTCATCCTCTGGCCTAGTCATCCCATCTTCAGGAATGTATGTCCAATGAGCTGACCTAAAGAGAATGAGAAAACCCACAAACCCACACAAATATTTTTGTAGATGCATTCTCTATATGACAATTCCAAATTGGAAACAACCCAAGTGCCTAAAATCAGGGAATGGTTAGGTTAAACTATAGAGCTTCAGTCCAACATATTGCTATATTGCCATTTAAATGGACAGATATGTGGACAATGTACCACGGAAAACTCCATAGAGA